GTGGTGCTGTGGGAGTGCCTCCTCCTGGTTTTTGTGTGGGAGCACCACATCCGGTCCGAGGTGCTCCCCTGGCACCCTTCCACAGCTGTGTTGACATTAAAGCTGTTAGGCACAAACTATGCAAATGCCCTGTTGCCTTGGTGATAAATGGAAAGTGAATTTGGTATTTGGGTTGCATCAGGGCTGCAGCAGCAGCCGGAGTGACACCTGAAAACAGCAGAGAATGTGGAACATGCCCTAAAATCCCAACAGAAATGCCTTGTGAACCACTCTTGGTCTGAAAGCAGAGACACCCAGCTCTTCCTAGAAATTTCTGCTTTGTGCTAAACATGCGGGGGCCATTTTCCTCTCTACCTCTGTCTCTCACCTGCATTTAAAATGCTGTTGACATGGATGGGTTATGAATGGGTAGAGAAAAGGTGGTGGTTGTCAGAATCAGTCAGAATCACAGGGGCAGATTGTTCCCCACCCGACCTGGTTGCCTTTGATTCTGGCAGCAGGTGGTCTGACCCAGAAGATGTGAGACTGCCTCTCTGGGAGCAGACCCCACCTGACAGGCACTGCATCCTCACTTCCTGAACCTGGAGTGGGTTCTCCCTCTACATGCTCAGCCTGTGATCTCATCTGTGAAGTGGAGATTGGCTGGGGTTGTTGTGAAGACTGTAAAGGTGTCGGCCAAGTCATCTTATTTACTGGTGACAGTTCTTGTCCCCCAGCTTGGGCGCCCAGAGCCTAAAGGCCCCAGGTCTTAGCATCTCTGTGCCCAGAGCTTCCCTGCGGGTATGAGCAACTCCACCCCCCACCCCAGGACAACCTGGGTCAAGGCCACTCCTGTGTCCTGCATGTGTTTCCCTCACTTGGGCAAGAGAGCATGTTTTGCTGTGATGACTTTGGCATTAATATTTAATTACATTCCCTATACTTGATTGGTTATCCTAAGTGAAGATGGTCTTGATGGTCTTGATGGTCTTGGCGGCGACTGATACCATGGTCACCTGCTGCATGGTCCAGCTGCTTACAGCTGCCATCTGGGGTAGTAGGCCCCTCCCCCAGATGTCACTCAATTGTCCTCCAGTGTCCTGTGGGTGTGCAAAGAACTTTTGAGGCCTTCCCTGCTCAGTGCTCTTGATACTCTCCATGGGCATTTTTTGCATCTTCAAAGAAGTGTGTCAACATCTGTACCAGAGATCTTGGAGCACCTGAATCCCCTATATTCCGACTTTTCAGGAACTCTTTGAAGGAGCAGTCATGGCATTTGGCAATATTTCTCTTCTGGCTTACAAGAAATCAAATACTCATTCACCATCTGAAATAAGAGTTCTGCGGACTGATGCTCCTTCTCCAGGGTAGTGCCCTTCCACACAGCAGCCTCCCCTCCTGAATTCTTGTCTCCTCAGCTCTTCTTCCTCCAGGCCTTGGTGTGTAGGGGTAGCTCAGTGACTTCCTGCCCCAGCTTACTGGCAGCTGCTTCTTCATCATTTTATTTACCTATATATTGTCCAGTCTGTTACCTTGTTTATCTGTGTGGCTCTGTCCCTACCAGAGTGGAAGTCCCCAGAAGGAAGTGCCATCACAGCTTCTGTAGACAAGAACCTGGGCCCTCATGTCTGGCTCCGTGTTGGCGTGAGCCTTGTATTTCACTGGCAGGTTCCCCTTGTTGTGTGAGGTGGGAACGTCCATGTGCTTAGATGTCAGCAGCACACTGGCCTCCTCGTGGGCTGTTCTCACTGAGGGCAGCACCTCCAGGCTGTGGGTTGCTCTTCTGTAGTCACTGCTGGTGACACAAATGATGCTCATCAGATCTTCTGGCTGCAGACATGTGCTGCCAGGTCACACCTTCCCCCATACCCTTGATGCAGGCAAGTGGGAGCTACAGGAGCCCCTCACCCAGAGAGTATTGTGGACTCTTGGGAATTGGTTCCTGTAGGAACACAAAGCTGACTATTGAAGAAGCCACCCTTTGGACATGTGGGATGCCTGTGAAAGTCACTTACCCCAAAGAACCCCATTCCTGATCTAGATTATGGAGCTAAAACTCGCCAGCAAGATGGGTTCCTGCACTGAGGATGCTTGTGAATTTTGTATATATGTGCATGCCAGCTAACAAGGTGGCTGTTACATATAAATTGTTTGTACTTAGTAGCATAGTTAGTTTTTTATTTTTTTTTTTAAAGATTTATTTGTGCATGCAAGAGCTAGGGTATAGGCCAGAGGTGCGGAGGTGGTGGGGGGGGGGGGCGTGAGAGGTGGGAGGATTCACCAGAGACAGAGCAGTGAGCAGAACAGGTCAATGTACGGAAATACACTGCTGAGGGGAGCAGCCGGCAAGACAGGAGAGGTCTGCTTTGCCATGTGAGTCACCTCCCTGGCTGGGGATCCAACTAGTGCTGCAGTGGCTGCAGATAGTTTCATAGTGCTGAGATTTTAACCCCCTGCGTCACCAGGGAGGCCCTCTACATATTTAGTTTTTTAAATACTCTCACCCACATGGATCCTTGCAATCTTTTTGAAGTACTTTCATGATTTAGACTAAAACAGCATTATTCAATTCTAAGAAGTGTTTTTTCACGCAAAAGGAGACCGAGAATGAGAGTTAAGCAAGAGAGAGGAGTGTGTATGTTCATTCGCCAGGACTCCCCTGACAACGTAGCAGAGACTGGGGGGCTTAAACAATCCGCGCTCATTCTTCACAGCCCTGGAGGCCCAGAGTCGAGGTCTGCGCTGACTGGGCGGAGGCTGTGTGCAGGGCGCCGATGGCCAGGGGTGGACCCATCCTAGCTCTTGAGTTACCTGCCGGTGTTAGTGTCACTGTCACAGCCACACCGCATGCCCCCCAGCTTGCACTCAGGCTCATTTGTATGACTGCAGGTGGGGAGGCAGTGAGTTTACCGGAAGCTGAGTGCTATTCTCCAGCTGTTGGTGAGGTGTGGGCCTGCGTGTCGAGCCAGCAGCCACTTCAGCCTGCTGTGCCAGCTGTCAAGGGTTTTCTGGGCTGGCACAGCTTTTGGAATCAGTGGTAATGGCTTCCTCCATTGAATGTTGTCCAAAAGCAATTGTTCACTGGCTTAAAGCATGTGCTGTGTTGTCACATGTACTGTCTGGGAGGGCAGGCATCCGCCTGTCCTTGCTAGCTGAGATGCTGCAGCATCGTCTCATTTGGCAGGACTTGTGTGGTCGTGCCAAAATTTCCCCCATGTCTGAATCCCAAACCCACACCCCATTCTTTCCATCTGAGATGAAAGCAGAACTGTCAAAAACATGGGAGATGTCTCGTGATATGGTTTTATCATGACAACGTCCATAGTCCACCTGCTCTCCTTAAGGATGGATGAATTTCCCCTCACTGAGGTCATTTTAACTGTTCTCTGATCTCGCTGAGCCCGGCAGTGGCACCTGGCTACCATGAGATTTCCTACCTGGAAGCCACTGCTTAACCTTGCATTGCACGCTCTTTCTTCATTTTAGTAAGTCATGGTTTTATTTTGAATAAGCCTCTTTCAACCTTCAGCCTATTAATATTAGTCTAAACTAAAATTAACCTTCCCCTAAATTATTCTCACACAGAAAAAGCAAAGTAATTTTGAAAGTTAAATCAAAACAAAGCAATCTTGTGTGTAGAACAGATAAAAATCACAGACTGTGGTTACGGAGTGCCTCCACAGGAATCGCTTGCATAAAGCTGATTTCCTCCAGTCTGGTTATGGAAGGAGAAAGGGAAATGCCCTGGCCTTATCACAATCCCATTCTGTCAAACAAGTGCTTGAGTGCTGTGTAAACAGTCGCAAGAAGGGAGCTCCACTTGATCTGATGTCTGTGGTCAGTGTTGGGTCTGAGAGGGACCCAACACCAGTTCTCAGCCGGACTCATGCCCAGTGGTCCCCCCCCACCACCAGAACAATACAGGGGTTCCTGAGGAGTTCCGGGTAACAGAGAATAGGTCCTGCGTATGGGTTACTGTCACGGCAAACCAGCAGGTAGTTTTCAGACCAGAACAGTGTAACAGGTTGTACCTGGCGTGGGAGTAGATGGGCTTCACTACCACCTTTGGCCACTCTGAATATACACCTTGCTTGCATGAACTCACCTGCAGAATGGATTGGGACTAGAAGGTGGGCACTCTGGAAAGCCTGCGGGCCTCTGGGAACTTAGAGTAATGTGGCAGTTTCCTTTTGAACAATTTCTGAGCTTGTCATAAACATAGGGTATTCCCTGGCAGAGAGGCCTTTTTTGTTTTAATTGCTCTTTGCTCCCCGTGCGGGGTGGGGGTGGGGCTGACCACCCTGCCTGCGTCTGTGACCGTGGGCAGAGTGTAGAGCCAACAGTGTTTATCCAGCAGAGCCGCCCACCAGCAGCCAGAGGCGCGCTGGCGCATCAGTGCACCACTTTATTTAGCTTCTTAGGGCAAATTACTCCAAATCACTGGTTTCTCAAGTAAATTACAGCTACCAGAAATTCACCCTTGGGGTAGTCTGCAGCATATTTGAATGTCAATAATTTCAGCAGTAAGACACTTGGCATGTACTAACTTCAGTCCTGCCCCCTCCACTCCTGCCTCTTTTCACAGGACACTAACTTCAATGACTTTCAGTGGCTTTTCTTCAGCCACCTGAATGGAGGTATTGGGAAAATTTGTTTTCTTGTGGTTGGTGCATTTCCGGATCAAGGCACTGATGGCATCGATCGCCTGTGAAAAAAAAGTAAATACAGGGTAGTTAGAGGAGCAAACCAGGACTGTGGAATTAACTTTGAAGTTTTCAGTTATTCTTTTGGTTGTTTCACGTCTAAGAAGAAAATAATTCAGTGTGCCTGCTTTTTATGCAGTGGCGTCTTCACAGTCTCAGGGTAGACTTGGGGCTCTGGTGACACAGTACCCTTTAAGGAGTAGCCTCCATCGCTTTTAAGATGGGATTTGTTGTTCATTTAAATAGGAGCATCTCTCTCCCCTGACCCCTAGAAAATGAAGGTTGAAAAACTAAGAAACTCTCCTTTTGTTGTTTCAGGTCTTTTTGAATAATTACCAAGCAGCTGAGGCCCACCCCCAAATGGTTCTCTTACGACTGCTACGTTACATCGTCCGTCTGGTGTGGAGAATGCAGTGACAGCAGGTTCCTTGCAGAGCTGAGATGTGTGCAGACATTTTGCTTGTTCAAACCAACAGGTCCCAGCACCATGAATGTTTGGTGCCATTGCTATGCAGCCAGCGACTCCTTCCCAGAGAGGGCATGGAGCAGCCAGCTGACATATTCCTAAAAACACCCAGCTGCACATGGACTTGACCTTCCTGTTTATCACCACACTGCAGAATTTCTTATAGAAGTTTGTTGTGAATGTAAACAAGAGAGGATTCTTTTTTAAAAATGTACAAATCATGGTTCTTTGGAGCAGGATTTAATGCAAGAATGCTGTTTACATGTGATGCGGTTTTTTTTCCAGCTTCTTTAATAAGAACAGGTTTTTCAGAAAGGAAATGGAAACTTTTTAACCAACTTGTTAATAATTTTTGTACTTAAATTTTAAGAACCTAATACCTACCCTCAGAGGATTATGTAAATTCTGCAGTGAAAACTGAGCCAGCTAATTTATAAAGCTGCCTTAGTTTATTTTTAGGGGTTACTGTACAGAATTTTTAAACGGGAGAGGTATGATATGGCCTCCTCCCTTCCCTGCCATTGCCTCTGACTTTTTTTTTTTAAAGCATTATTATTAATACCAAAAAAAATACTTAAATGAAAGGGGCAAGGGATCTGTTAGCCTGTATCAATATGCCGCTCCCGTTTTGTAAATATTTACTTACCTCCTTAAATTCAGTTGCATCTGTGGCAGAATTTCAGACTCTCTCTTGTGTGTTTTTCTTTGTGTCCTTCTATGATACCCCTCTAGCCTGTCTGGACACTGATGCACAACTTGGTCCACTGTAGTTTTGTGATGAAAGGGAATTGCGTCAGAAGTGAGTTACATCTGCCTATATCATCCACAGCTCATCAGCCTGTCTGCTGTAACCTAACTGGGAAATGCTTCATATCAGTTTTCATTTTGATGGGCTTGTCACTCAGAAGTGTTCCGAAGAGGGACTAGCAGGAATAACACCAAGTATTTGCTTATGTCCCTTTGCACTGTTGGCGTTTCTGGTTGCAGGATTTCCCTGCCCACGGGATATGCTCTCAGTGCAGCTTCCAGGTGTCCAGAAATAGCTGGGTTTGGCCTCAGGTATCTGAGTTCAAGTCCTCCTGGGTATTAGCTCAGGTCTTGGGCGGGACTTTAAACAGATGTTTCCTGGGCATCCTGGCCTTTCGTTCAGCTCACACTTCATCTGGCCCTTGATGCCTACCACTTGGTTCCCAGTCCTCTAAATCCACTTTGAAATATAGGCTTACTTCTGCTTTCAGCGGTGCCATTATGATGCTCCATTGAGCACAAGTGTGAAATGGCCCCTCCGCCTTCTGAAAGATGCCTGTGGTACTTGTTCCATTTCTCTTGGGAAGGTTGGGTTTTGTCATCTGCCTCTTTGAGGTCCTTACACCTACGGAGCCACGAGGATTGCAGTAGTTGGGAAGCCCACCAGTTGGTCTGTCATTTAAAAGGCAGTTAAGCAACTAGGGAGATACAAGGGAAGGACAGATTAGAGAGTAGTGAGAAAAGGGAGGTAGAGATCAATCTGTGAACCCTGTAACTCAAGCTTTTTGAAATCTCAGATCGTTAAATACTTTTTAAAAGAAATATGTGATTTTTCAAATAAGTCAGCAGTGCCAACAACTATTGTATATGCTTTTGGCCCATGGAGGACCAGTGTTTTCACATGATTAAATTAATGGGAAAATCCATTCATTTGTATCTTCATACTTTTATATAAATATATATATTGCATATACACTTTTTCCTGTAGGTAGAGATATTTGATTCCAAATATTCTTCCTTAAAAATTTCTTTTCCCCAGATACCTTTGTGGGGTCTTGAATATTTTTAAAGCTGTGTTGAGTTTCAGCTTGTGTTCTTGACGTGTCTTGAACCCCTTTGTAGGGTCAGAAAGTCCACACGGTTGTGAGGTGATGGTAGAACTGCAGCCATGGACCTGCTGGACACACACACCAAAGATGTATTTGGTTCTGGGCCCCTCTCCTCCCAGGATCTCCATCCTCATGTGCCAGTCTCTCTGACTGGAGCACTTTACTCTGTTTCTTTGATACTGTGGTTCCCTGAGAGCGGCACAGTGCAGCCCCTGTGCTCTTGTGCCCGCCACATCCAAAAGTTTACCTCTGGCTTGGCAGCCCCTGGGCCTCCAGGCTGGCCATGGAAGCAGCTCATGAGGAAATTAGAGAGTCTATGAACTGTAGAAGTATTAAAGAACAGGATGTTGCAAAAGGACTTGAGAGAGAAGACTGGATGTCTCTGTACTGTATGTATCTGTTTATCAAGATGCCTCCCCATGCAAAGTATACCAACTGTGGTATACATTTTACTTTTTATTTTTTATTTCTTTTATTTTTTTGTAGAAGAAAAACCAAGTAGCTCCCTTTTTGAATATTTAATGCGGGTTTTGTGCCTTCACCACCTCTTCTCACATGAGGTTTATAAAAAGTGTCCTGTGACTTATCACAGAAATGCAATAAACACACACAAAATAACTTCATGAGTGGTTCTTCAAATTACCTGTACTCCTGCCTAAAAGTGAGTTTATGAAGAAATTTTCTTGGTTACAGAGAAACTTGGTAAAAATTCCTTCTGATTAAAGAAAAAAAATGTACACAGTAGAATACAATTTTCTCTTGTTTCCCTTTCTTAATATTGTTGTATATATTTTGACTATTTATTAGATTAGGAGATCATATTTTCCTTATCAACTGAGCCAAATGTCTGTGTGCAATTGTGTTTCCTTTACCTTTCTTGTAAAATTTTGTACAGCATAATGAGTAAAAATCACTGTTTTTCTAAACTTTTTTCAGAATCGAGGATTGTAAATACTGTAGATTCTTTTTTCAGTGTAATGTGTCCTACTGTTTCATAATGCTGTAACTTGTAGAAATATTGTATATTTATTTCCTGCTTATTTAATGTCTTTAAGTTTTTAAAAGTGTTGACCTCCCTGCCCCTACCCCACCCCCACCCAGCTGTCCCATTAATTGCTTTTACTCTGAGGTGGTAGTTGGTCAGCTCCCTGTAGGCCACATGATCTTCCCAGGGTGGCCTTCCCTGCTTTAGTTCCTGGTATTTCTGGTCAGCGGGTTTAAATTCTTGGACATAGCTGTTCGCACGATGATGCTAGTATCTAGACACCAGTGAGAAACTGAATCTGGCAGGCTATAAAATTCTACTCCAAGAAATACCCAGTGACTATTTGTTCCAAAGCAGCTAGCTTCTCAAAGAAGCAAATTCCAGACCATATCTTTAAAAAATAATGTATTACCAGTAGTTAGGAAAGATTTTTCCATTGAAAAGTTATCCCTGGGAACTCAGTGTTGAGAAAAATACAATCATGCCCCTTCTGGAGGTGTTGCTGTGAGGTGGTTCAGGGCAAGGGCCAGGCAGGGCTTAGGTGGGGCTGGTTGCTCCTGCCTGGACAGCTACTTCAGCACCGCCTCATGCCACTAACCCCTTGTTGGCAACTGGTGAGTAGTTGAATTTCCCCTCCCGCTGTGTGGCTTCCTGTGCTTTGAGGCGAGGACTAGGTTGTCTTCAGGAGCTGATTGTATAGTCCCCCAGCCCTGAACCATTTGGTCCCTGCATTCCATCAGTCTACTTTCAAAGGTTGACGCCCACCTCCTGCTTCTCCATCGCCCGCGAGAGAGGTTAGGGCCCCCACTGGATTCGGTGTTAAGATGTGAAAGCTCATGGAAGCTTTAGCGAGACTTCCGAATGGTTCCATGTAGATGGTCTGTCATCCCTGCTGATTTAGCCTGGTGCCTATGTGTGTCCGCTCAGCGCACGGCTGTGTGCAGGGGTGTGGCCACGTGACGCTAAAGCAGCCGGGGTTAACGCCCGTTCTACTCCTAAAGGGCCTTGTGTGCAAGAAGCCTCCGCAAGCTCCCAGCTAAGTAACTTGACTACTTTTATTTGGGAATTTCCAACTTTAGAAGCTCTCTTAAGTTGTTTTGTCCAGGTTCTGTGACCACTAGTTACTGTATCAGAACTCATCAGGTACACATTTATAAATAGCACTGATCTGTCTGTATACTGATTCATCACTAACTTGTTTCCTAGGACCCAGCATATGTAGCATTTGTATTGCAATTTCCCTGGCTTACTTGTGTTTTGCACTGATGAAATTTGACAGGGTAATTGCCACTTTACTTGTGCAATACTGCTGTAAATAACTGCAGATTTTTTTTAAGAAACTCAATCTTTTATGTTCTTAATGAATTTTATATAAATAAAACTTTCAACTAGTTTTTTGGTGAGCTGTTTGATTTGTCTCACAAAATGGTGGAGAGAACAGCTGAAATTTTACATGAATATGTACATGCCCACACCTCTGCCCTTTATCAGTCATCAAGTATGACCAATGTGTAGATACTGTGAATTCTTGAAGACAATGCTGCGTAGTACACTTAAAAAAGCAAACCACTCTTTAAAGTCTTGAAGAAACGAGCGAGAGTGACTTTAGATTTTTCTGCCCACATAGTCAGATATGACTCAGCTCCTGGGAGTATTAGGAGCAGGCTCTGAACTGTATTGATTAGTGATAATGCAGACTGTGATCTAACCCAGTCTCATAACCTCAATTTTAAAAAAAGGTGGGAAGTCTGGTTTGATGCTAGTAGGAAGGAATTGTCTCCAGTGCCTGCTTAGAGCTGATGGGCTTGCTGGGGCCTGGAGCCTTGCCTGTGAACTGATGGCAGCCTCCTTAGGAAGGGCCAGCTGAGTTTGGGGCCCCTGTGCTGTGCAGTGGGTGTGAGGTGGTTCAGGGGTGACAGAGAGAAATTAGTCTGGTTTGGGCAAGTAGGTCACAAAATCCTGAATAAGTAGGTAATTTGCCACTTCTGCTTTGTAGTAAGTGCTAGGAAAGTTAAGAGACTGGCAGAACTTTATTTTAAACTGGTATCTATTAGTGTAAATCAATTTGTTGTTCTAGCCCCCATCCTGTTTCCTTTCAAGGCAGAAGTTTGAGTTTTCCCATTCCCCTTTCTCTGCAGTGTGTGCATGTGTGTGATGGTATACAGAGGTTTTTTGTTTTTTTCTCTTAAGTGCTGTTACCCGGTGTTACAGATGGATATACCGGTTCTTCCAACCTAGCAATACAGTTGACCTTTGAACAATATAGAAGTTAGGAGTGCTGACCTCCCACACGTCGTCTAAATCCATGGATAACTTGATTCTCCCAAAAGTGCAACTACAGCCATCCCTTGATATCCTCAGGGGATTAGTTTCGGGACCCCCAAGGATGCTGAAGTCCCTTATAGCGGGCCTGCTCTTCTAAAGCCTGCATTCCTGAATTCAACCAGTCAGCCACTGGTGTTGGTTGAATCTGTGAATTTGGAACCTGTGCATGAGTGGGACAGAGCAGTTCAAACTCGTGTTATTTAAGGCTCAGCTGTAGGTGACAGACCTTTCCACTCTAACCACGGCGTCAATACAGGTATAAGGGCTCATTCCTGCTACCTGGCCTGCTCCTCCCCAGCAGACGGGACGGTGCTTGGGGACCGCACAGGGAGGTGGGATCAGTTCAAAAGACTCTTGCAGATATTGCCACACTTTCAACTCCAGCTCACTCAGTCACCGCAAAATGTGAGAACACCCTGTAATTACCTTCCATGGACCCTCACGTAGATACCAGCCTGGACGCTGAAGAGTGATATTGCTGGTTGAATTAAATTTTGTTCATGCGTAGGGTGGTCTTTTCAGATGTTATTCGCTTTGGTCTTTGTTTATCTTCAATTGGGCTTTTCAACTTTCATACTGATGATTAACTATAGTCTGTTTAATGATTTTGTATGTGTTGGAAATATTTCTCCTTTGGTCTGTTGCTTATCTCTATCTTTGTTTCATTTTATAACCCATACACCAGCCACCTAGAGTCACATTTTACTGTACAGTACTTGCTTTATCCTATAACATCCTATAAAACTATCATTTTGATGTATTTCCAAATAAATCGTAGTCATCAGTACCCCTTATCCCTACATACATAAGTATGCATATCCTTTCAAGTTTGGGAAATTTTTAAAATAAATATAAACTTTTCCTTTTAGATAAAGTTGGCATACGATAGACCATACTAACACAAAATTTGCTATATTTTGACCAAGGATACAGGCCAGCCCCTATCAGGATAAATAGTATCACCCTCACTCCAGAAACTTTCCACAGGCTCCTTTTAGCTAACCACTTCACTTCTGCCTCCTGGAGTAACTTCTGATTTCCCACTGTCCCCCTACCCCACCAAAAATTTGCTTTCATGCATAGTTTGAATGGAAACAGGCTGTGTGTGGTCTCTATTATGTGGCTTCTTTTTGCTCAACATAATATTTTTGAAAACCATCTTATAATTATCAATCTTTTTATTGCCAAGTAGTATTCCACTGAGAACAGACCACACTTTGCCCATTCTCTTATTAGCAACCCCTGAGCTCTTGCCAGTTTAGGGCTAGAATGACTAAAGCTGTTAGGGATAGTTTTGCTCACATCTTTTTGTGAACACGTTTTTGGTTTTTTTTTTCTCTGCATGTCTTTGAGCTCTGATGGTGTCCTTATGTAATTGCTTCCAATTTAGAAGCCAGATTTATCCATCCTAATGGATTTCTGAATTTTGTATCTAAAAGTCCTTCCTATGCCAAAGTTTAAAGTATGTTTTCCTCTATTTCACTCCTATACTTTGTTTTATTCTCTTTAATCCAATTGGAATTTATTTTTTACACCACCCCTCCCTGAATTAATTTTTTTAAAGATTTTAAAGATTTATTTTATTTATTTATTTATTTATTTATTTATTTATTTATTTATTTATTTATTTATTTATTTATTTATACAAGCACTGGGTACAGTCAGAAGCGCGGGAGGGTGAGAGAATTCACCAGAGCAGGGAGCAGAGCAGGCAGAAGGACCGAAGTACACTGCTGAGGGGAGCAGCGGGCGGCAGGAGAGGTCTGCGCGCCATGTGGGACCCTCCTCTGGTGGCCGGGGAGCAGACGGGGATCGAACTGGCGCTGCAGAGGCTGCGGGCAGCTTCGCAACCCAGCACTCAACTGCTGCGCCACCAGGGAAGCCCTGAATTAATTTTTTAATGATAAACAATATGAATCTTGTTTAACTGTTGCCTCATGAACAGTGAAGACCTTCCACTTTTCTTTATCAGCCTGAAATGGCTCTGACATCCACCAGAGTCTCATGTATGTGGGTCTGTTTCTCAACCATTTCCTTTTCCATTGGTCTTTTTGTTTAATTTACATTATTCTGACCACTCTAGCTTTATAGCCTGTTTTGAATACCATGTTCTTATTTTTCAAATTGTCATGGCCATTTTACATTTTGTCTTTAAGTAGGCATTTTGGAATCAGTTTAAGCTTCATAAAAATGTTTTGGGGTTCTTGTTTAGAATGACAATGACTGATATATTAACTGAGGGAAGCAATGCCCTCTTTCCAAAATGTTTTCTTAGGTAGTGTTTACGTCAAAGAGATTTGTTCTTTGGTGCTTTTAGGACACTTAACTTTTCTTCCGATATATTTTGCCCATTTTCTTGCTAGCTTTGCTCTCAGGGAGAGATGGGGTCACCCAGCCTCCAGCCCACCCACTCCCCACTTCTTTCCATCGCAATTTCCCATTGTATACCTTTCTCACCTCCTCCACCACCACCTTGTGCCTTGAAACTTTCTCTTTCTGGAAAGAAATTTTCTCAGTACATCTGAGGGCAGGCCTATGATGTATATTTGGACAATTCAAAGGTCTGTCCCAACACTTTGAATCTGCGGCAAGCGAGGTAAGGAAGGGCTGTTAGGAACACTGCATCCTTGAAACCTAGTAGACATTTTGGCGTTCCCTGGTGCTGGTGCTGGCGCTGGCTCTGGACTGCCCGGCCACCAGCAGGTCAGCTCCTATCTCCCAGCTTCCTGTTGGTTCTGTGAGCTTGGTGACCTCCCCTCCAGTAACTTCTCTCTGTGCACTTAGAGTTGGTTTCTGTTGCTGGCACACTGGCACGACTCATTCCTACCTGTCAGGAAGGACTGAATAAAAAGATTGTAAGGATTTCTCTGTAAACGGTATGAACTCAGAAAGAGTAAAGCGATAGGCTGATTATTAAAACTCCCCACCAGGTGAGACCAGAATGGGGCTGGGAGATGGAAAATAACAAGGCAAAGTGATGCCTTAATGTTCTTTCTGAGTAACTTCTACCACTGGGTCTCTTTTTCCTGGAAACTGAGGCAGGTCCTTAGAATACATTACAAGGGGAAGATGTGGTCTACGAGAATCTTGAAAGCCCTCGTTTCTAAGCACGTATCTCTTATTTCACAAGCATTTTACCAGGAAGACACGATTGAAATAACAGCTTGCCTCATCTCAAAGCAGATTTGGGAAAGCTTAGTCCTAGAATAACCCCTTCTCTACTGACTAAAGGTCAAACTTGGCAATCACTTAAAAAATACCCCCTAAAGATGTCCTGCCCATGGGAATTGAGGAGGGGGAAGTTGTATGGAACTGTGAGGTGAGGAAGATAATTTTAGTTCCCAGTAGGAGGAATAGGTTACCTTTTTAAAAAATAAAATGGATTCTAAGGGGTGGGGTGGGGTGGGGAGAGATATCCTTTCTGTTGTAGACTTTGTGGTCCAGAGGATCATCAGAGAGTCTATATAGCCCCATTGCTTTTCAAGTAAGTTAGGTAGTCATTGTCCTAAAAAATAAGTCCATTCAATCCAAATATATATTATGACCCAGCCATACCTCAGGCACAGATGAAAATATACAAATGCTTAGAACTAGGACATGCTCCAGAGGCTGTTACTTAAGGCCTCAGCCAGCAAGCAGGACTAAAGTTCTGCAGTGACTGTCAGGAGGGAGCTAGTTCAGGAGCTAAGAGAAGTGTGTGAGTGGCCTGCAGACCTGAGTGTCTCATTCGTGTCCTATCTGCCCCAGAGTCCTCTAATGACTCATTGAGGAAGACTCACAAGGCATCTGTGAGGCCCTGTTCAAAGCATCTCATCTCAGAACAAGCAGTCCTTTAAATTAACTGCCATTCGAGGATGTGGAGAAAAAGGAACTCTCCTGCACTGCTGGTGGGAGTGCAAGCTGGTCCAACCACTATGGAGAGCTGTGTGGAGATTTCTGGACCTACTAAACATAGAGCTTCCATATGATCCAGCAATTCCACTCCTAGGTATTTACCCAAATGACACAGAAACATTAATTCAAAAGGGCACCTGCACCCCTATATTTATAGCAGCACTATTTACA